GCCGAAAGAAAAAGAAGAAGTCTCGCACATTTATGAGAAAGAAGGAAATATAAATACAAGGCAATAAAAACAAAACAAAGGTCCTTCTGGGATCCTCGGCACAACAGGCCAAGAACTCACCCCTCAGGGCAGCACAACCCTCCACCTCTGCTCCCTCCGTCTCACATCCCGGTCACTGGTGTGTGACCTTGATGACATACTAGTTTATTGAGTTCCTTCAACACCCGAGCCTTCGACCGTGCTGATTTGGCAGCAGCACCGATACAGGAGCCACATGGAGAGTGATGGAGAATGATCCAGAAAGATAAGTCAAAGACCAAGGTCACTGTTATGTCATCACTCTCTCTACTTGTTATGGGAACACAACTAGGGCAATGACACCATTTCTACTCCCCCCCCCCCTCCCCCATCAGTCTCTGCCCACTTACGTTAGCGCCCCTGCAAATGTTATTTTTATGTAATTCTCACACTGTCACACAGCTGTGTGTTTACGAGTGTATTAGACAGTAGGTGGCGGAGTGGTGTGGTGTGGTGTGGATGAGGTGTTGATGCTGTGCTAATGCTGCTGGTGTCACAGGATGCAGACTGTATGACATGGGTGGGGGGGGGCACGGTGAATGGCTAATCTCTGACAGGAATAACATCTTATGTAAGCTAGCACGCCGTCAGCCCATGTTAGCCCTGCTACAGAGTGTGGACGCCGACGTCATCCACACCAGTGTGTCTGTAGAAATCACTGTCTGCCCGTGAACCCGGTGAACCTTCTTCACATACGTGTCTGTTTTTTTTGTGCGCCGTGTGCCACCAGAGGCCACTGATGATAAACAGATGGAACGTTTTCCAGTTTTGGTTCCCAGTCTGAACAGATGCAGGTGATTAAAAAATGAAATAAGAAGGAAATGAAAAGAGATGAACAAAATCAGACAGGTATGAAGTAAAAACTTCATAACACTGTCACCAAATCTGCATCGGATTTTAAACTAGCTTTGGTCACATTGTTCCAAAAGAAAAGCCCAAAGTCTTATTGTTCTGAAGGAAGAAAAAAATCAAACCGGCCAGACTCATCCACGCCTTTATCTCCTTTAAGGCTTAATCCTTTTTCAGGATTACAGGGGGAACTGGAGCCGATCCAGGAATTTATCTGAGCGAAGGTTGGGCAACAAACTGCACTGATGTCCTAACACAAGAAGTTTGATAGAAGATATTTTTTTAAACACCAACTGATAGGAATTTAATTAAAAAAAATTCAGCATTTTATTTTCACCAGATTTAATCAGGTATAATTTGACTTTCCACCTGATCTTCACTCTGGAAGAAAATAAAAACGAACTAAAGCAGAGTACTGGTAGTAGTAATATATAGTTTTTAAATTGAGAAAATAAAAAGCAACAAATATCAGATAGATATACTTATCACAACAGTTTCAACAAGACAGAAAAGGTAAGAAGTTTAGGAATTATAATGTAAAATAATAATAATAGTTAGCAGATGTTCCTAGTACAGTCCAAATTCTGTCGCTTAAACACCTAACGGGGGCAATTTATTGACTTGTCAATATTTATACGATACTTTATTTCTTCAAACTTTGTTTTCCAGAACAAAAACATCCTCTATTCCATGCTCCTCTGTGACTCTACGCCAAATATCTGTGGTTTGTGGACGAGACAGAGAGTTTGAGCATGTGGTAATCCTGAGGTTGTGGCTGCAGTGACTTACATTGTCTACCATGTTTGGTATTTCACGAACCGTATAACTGGATGAACAAACGTCTGCTAAAACAACTTGGAGGATTATAAACAGCTCGTGTACACACTCTAACCTCCACCTCTAGGGTCCGCCATGAGTTCACCTGCACGCCTCAGGGTCCTAAAGTGTTCAGATCACATGGAGATTATTATTTTTCATTAGGAAAACCCCGCAGCACACCAACCAAAGACTAATCTCACAAAAGATTATTATTTTTCATTAGGAAAACACCAACCAAAGACTAATCTCACAAAAAGCATATGTGTTAAAATATAATAATCCTTTAGTTTAAATTTACTCAAAACTAACTCAAATCTTGGCCGGTTTAGTTGAAGACAACGCTGATCTACTGGGAGGAATTGAAGAAAGACACTCACAAAAATCTTCTTCAACAGCTCTGATTCTTTTTTTAGTTTCATAGCCAATTGCTGCCACCTAGCGGACCAGGACTTAATTGCGCTGCCTGTCATGCATTGACAAAAATAAAAAATAAAAAAACAATATTTGCAAAATATAAATAATATTTTTTAGACAAATTACGTGAAATAGAGTAATTTTCCACGGTACAGTGGTTGGGAGTCACTGGTCTAATGTGTGTGTGTGTGTGTGTGTGTGTGTTCTGCGTTCTTTCTTGTCCCCTGAGCATCTTTTTCCTCCTCAGGTTCCTGGGTGGAGCTGGAGGAGCTCATCGCAGCCGTGAGCCGCAGGGAGAGTCTGACAGGGCTGCAGGACAGCATCTCCTCTGCCCTGCAGGGGGAGCTGGAGAGGATCCTTCTGGAGGCACAGCTGGAGAGTGAGAGGAATAAAGACAGGTGTGTGTTTGGGGGGGGGGTGGGGGTCTTTTTCTGTGAAACAGAGAAAGATTAACATCAGTCTTTACCATATTTACATCAGTGTTTGGTGTCCAGATTAGAAAGCCCAGCGGGCCGTATCTGGGCCACGGGCTTTAGTTTGACCAGGTTTGATATAATATGTAGTGATCAAATTCTGCATGTGTTTAATATATGCATGGGATTTTGTTATGTGTTTCATTGAGGACAAAGTTGTGAACTGTGGATTTTTGCTCCCAGTCCTCCACAGGTGGCGCCACCACAGTCCTCTGGTTCCCCGAGACTCAGTGATGAGGACAGTGACTGCGTCACCATACAGGTACAGTGTTAGTCTTCAGACCTGTTGTTGTCAACCTTTGTACATCACATACTTTCGCCAAAAGTATTTGGCTCTCTTAGTATTCAATTTGAAACTTCGCATAACAACAACTGCAGTAACAGACCTTCCTAATAAACAGGGAATCAGTTCCACTGCGTGCCATGTACTGCTTATACCAGTGGTACCCCTACCACAGTTTGAGAAACATTGCTTAACCAATGACCAAGTGTGGGCAAACTTTTGGACTCACGAGCCACAATTGTCCAAAAATTGAACAGAGAGGGCCAGGTCAGGAGCAGATAGATGGAGGCTAAAATGCTAAAATTATTTTATCATTTTTCTTCGCCATATATTGGGGAAACGGGTATTGCAGGAAAAAGGCAGAAGAATAATGATAATATATAACTAAATTATATAATTTGGAAAAGTTTGGCGGGCCAGTTTAAAAAGCTGAACGTGCCGCATTCGGCCCCCGGGCCTTAGTTTGCCCATGCCTGCTTTAGACAGTACTGAGCAGGACTCAGTCAGAGTCAGACATTTCCCCCAGTGGCCCCTCTGTCCTCTGTCCTCTGTCCTCTTAGTCTAAAACCTTTCTTTTCACATGTCCTGCAGGAAAGAATGTTGTCGTACAGCGGATTAGAGATAACGTACTAATTGATTTAGTTTAGATTGAGTTTTACATTCAAAATCAAACCATTTGTATAAGATAACGTACTGATTGATTTACATTCAAAATCAAACCATTTGTATAAGGTTTTGGAGCCATGTTAAAATTATTTGGACCCCAAAGAATATGATATTTTGTTGACGTTTTTTCCTGAATGAAATACAGTCATAAAACAAGAAAACCCATGTGACTAATTCACATCTTCTTTTCTCTTTTTTATTACTGTAATTCCATGTGTTTGGACGCTGTCTGTACATCAAAACTGATGCCTGTACTGTATTTTTTTTAAATGCAATTCTTGGTTGTAAAAGGATAATATTAATTAACATATTGATTTTTTTTTTCTCAGTGAACTCAGTATATTTTAGTATCTGAAATATTATACACAAACAAACACGTATTGATCTGAGTAAATTGGTTCACACTCGTTCTGAGATCATCCAGATGTTGGTATCAGCTCTGCACAGACTCTGTGTGTTTGTCAACCGCTGCCCAGCATGTGATATTTACCTGTGTCCTGCAGGAGGAGGACGACAGGAGGGGGGACACAGACTGGGTCTGGGACTGGTCCAGCAGACCTGAAACGATGCCACCAAAGTAAGCCCAGTCCGGTCGACATCATAAACTGCCTTTAATTCTCTCCTGTATTCGATCCACACGTTGTTCAAATTCACTGCAGTATTTTTTTATTTGCCATTTAGTTTGAATTGGGTTTTTTGTTACTTGCAAACTTCTATTTTTTTCTTTCTTTTTTTTTTTACAAAATGGGATTTCATTGATCTGTTTGGGTTTGACAGCGTGGTCCAACTTTTCAATTTTGTTCTTGGATTATACCTCAGAGTGTTGAGAAACCCATAAATCATTCTCATTTTTATTTTCCTGTCCACGCTCACATACTTTAATCTCTTTGACAGGTAGTTCTTAACAATCTCCTGCTTTCAGAACTCTGCTCCTTCTCTCTGGTGTACTTATTATCTCCGTTTACTTTTTTCTTCTCTATCTCACCTCTACTTTCTCAAGATAAGTCTTGAGCTCCGTGTCACACCTCCCTCCTCTTCTATTTCTCTGTCTCTGCAGGGAGTTTGTGTTTCAGCACCCAAAGAAGCAGAGCTCCCTCAGTGTGAGGAAGGCGGAGGTGATGAAGAGGGGAATCTTCTCCTCCGACGTTCTCTTCATCCTCGTTCCATCTCTGCTGGCATCACATCTGCTCACGCTTGGTGTTGGGTGAGACATAAGTGCACACTCACATCTGGGACGGTTTATGAGACAGTAGTGAGACCTGCTATGACGTTTGGCTTAGAGACATATAGTATTGGATCGAGTCATGGCTCAATGTAACAGAACAAATCTTACAGTAAGTTTGTAGCTGAACATGATCCACTGATGGATCAACAATGGCATTGGTTAACGGACAATTAAGAATAAATCTTTCATATTTTAATATTTCTCACCTTGTCCTGTTTCTGTTTTAGGATCTACTTTGGGAAAAGACTGGCTGCTTCTACCACAAGCACACTGTGACTCCAGCAGTAGACTCTCATTTCCAAACCATCTGGTCCTCTCTCCTGTACTCACTCCTCTTCTTCCTTCGTCCTTCTTCGTGCCGTAGGAACCTGTCTGCCCGTCCGTCTGTCTCCTCCCATCATTAGTTGTCCCGTCACAGCTGCTTCCATTCCAATCAGCCTCTCTGTCAGTATTTGAGGGACTGAGAGCAGATGGACATCAACCAATAAGTCAGGCCGGGGTCACTTGTACCATCCCAAAAGAGTAGCACTGATGTTACAGAGCGAGAGCTTCGTCAGACAGAGCAGAGGGGAGCAGGAGTTAAAACGGTTCCAACAATAAATCCTTAAAATGAAGAAATGAAAACATTGAAGCTGGGAACGGTGCATAATGTGAAGCGGCGAAATGAGAAAGATAATATGTGATAGCCTTTCCCTAAACCTTTGAAAGAGCAAAATGTCTGTAATTTGTCAAAAGTAATGACCTTCTGTGACACAGAGCTGCTGTAAGGTTCTCTTCCACGGCTGTTTATCTAATGTAGGGAGTCTCAGCGAGCTGACTGAATATTAACAGCAGCTCTGGTTGTACTTTATGTCCTAAAAAAAAAACGTTTAAATATTTGACCTCTGACAAAGACTATTACAATTCTATTAAACTTGACTCCTTTTTAAAAAAAAAAACCCTCGTGGTGCCTCTCAGGGCCTTTGTTCTCCTGTTCCACTCTCACAGTGGGAGCTTCTGTCATACACATGTTCATCTCGTTTAATAAATGTGGGAAATGTCAAACGTTCTTCAGCCTACGCATCGCCGAGACTCGCCGAAGTAAGCTAGGACATCAATAAAGTTCCAGTTCGGGTTTCTGAATATTGGCTGTAGAATGTCATAAAAAGTGAAGAGTTTTTTTTACAACCTGCTGTGATGGGAACAACCACAGAAACCGAGGTATGGCCCTTTAAATATAGTTCAATAAATAAGATAATGTCAATACAGGGGGTTCTTGGTTTACAACACTCAAGGCCTGGGGGCAAATGTGGCCCAATAATAATAATAGCTACTGGTGTGAGGCACGAAAGTCGACTTATGTCGCGTAGTTATGTTTTGACGTAAGACTTACAGCGAAAGTCGACCTATGTCGCGTAGTTATGTTTTGACGTAAAAAACAGAATTCCGACGTATGTAAAATGAAATGTATAATTGGATAAAAACTTGATTTTTTTAAAATACACATAGTAAATATAAACAAATAAACAACTCAGGCTCAATATGGTCCAATTACAAACATCGAGGAGCCACACGAGGCTCGGGAGCCACAGGTTGCAGACATGTTATGACATCACTGACGCCTGCGTCGGACCATCTGTCCCTGTCATTCTTGGCCTCACCTAAGACTCTTTCTTTCTTCACACAAACCACTGCCACTCTGAGCACTTTTGAAATGTTTGACATTTTATTGCTTTACCATAAACCAGGAAACCACTTCCTCTTAACAGCTCAGCACAAAAAAAAAAGAAAAAAAACCTGGCCCGGACTTTGAAGGTCGGGCCGTGGACGTGCTCTGAGGTTCTGCCGTGCTAATGGTTTGGATGTACGTAAAGCCGTCCATTTGTTGCCCAGCCTGACTGAGCACACTGACGTTATCAGTCATTAGCGGAGTGTTTTATGTGCAGAGCCCTGCTGAGCTCCTTCAAACAACAAGCCTCGCTGTGGAAAAGCACAAACCACCTGGTTTCCATTCAGTCGTCCACATGTGCCACACCCACGAACTCAAACTCAGGCTTCGTCAACAACATGTCAGAAGATGAAAAATAGGCAAATAAAACTATTTCAATCAACAATCATGTTATTAGACCGCTTTCTATCCAGGTTTATAAACAAGTAGTTTCTCAGCACATGGCTGGTGATTCAAGCCTATCATCATTTGGAGATAATAACACACTAAAAACACAAAACACAACAAAACACAAACAGAAACAGCTGGATGTACCGGTCTCTTACCTCTGTGTTAGTAATGTCCTGGAATAAAACCATAATGCTACTGTGCAGGACACAGTCACATGGACCAGGACCAGGTTGGAAACACTGTGCAAAAACAACCTAGTGGTGGACGAATGGCCATGGCTGGGAGACAACAGGGTGTGTCCAAATGTTTGAAAACAGATGTCATCATTTTATTTAATATCATTTTAATAACTTAACAGAGTTAAGGCGCGTCTTCTCAGGTGTCTCTCAGAAGTAGGAAAGTGTGGAGCTGTGGTACATTTGATTTCTTCAGGTCTTTCAACCGATTTTTTGATGGAGAAAAAACAAACTCAAGCACAGGTTGACTGTGAAGATTCTCATTCATCCAGGTCATGTTTGGTTGGGTAAAGAACTGGACTTCTTCTTGGAGCGTGAAAGTAAAGAACTTCTTGGAGCGTGAAAGACATTTCATTCCTCAATTTAGAAACAAAACTCTGATTAAATGACACTGAAAAGCAGTTGCTTTTGATGTAAAAGCTCTGCTCACTTTCTGTTCACCTAACTGTGTTAACCACCCAGAAAGTCTAACGAATCAGTAATGAAGTATAAGGAATCACCATGTACTCTGATGTACTCTGATGATACCTTCATAGTACTATAATATTTGTAGCTATTTTAGTCATTACACACATGCAATAACAACTTTCTGCCGTGCAGGATCTTGATTTATGTCCGCAGCCATAAACATGACTTCCTTTTTACAGATTGACAAATTGCTGCCTGTCAAAATGTTAGCATTACCATGTATATGCAATTACCTCAGGGAGTGACATCAAATACACGAGTTTTAATGGACTGGAATTTTCCCTATAAAGCACTTGCACCCTCCCCCCCCATACACTTATCCAGGGCTCGGGGCAAACAGGCAGTCACAGGTGGGGGAGGCTGTTGTAAATCACGCTGCTCTCTCACAGTTTAATCCCCCACTGCTGTGAATCCTTCATCGGGGTTGACGGCGTGAAGAACCCCCGACCCTTTGATACCCTCTCTGAAACGAGGCCCGTTAAAGAGAACAGCACTAAATGCCACATGTGATTTTTCCGCAGACCTCTCAGATACACCTGATAAGTCTGACTATTTCACTTCCCGCCGCAGCAAATATTACTGTAAATCGTATCCCCGCGCCTTGTCACTTGTAGCTGTTGAAAGCAGCGGAGACTGAGGCCGAGACAGAATGTGCAAGAAAACCACTTCATTTCCTGAACTGAACTGTGGAAATCAGACATCTGTCTCTCTGGGAAATGCATTATCTCCCCGCTCCTATAGTGCTAGACAGGAAATAGAGAGTCCAGTTTCAAAGAGATTAAAACTAACAAAGGAATTCGGGGCAAACCGGCACGGCGTCGCCGCCTTCAACATACAAACAAGGTTAGCGTCAAAATGGATTCTACTTTACCACATGTGGCTCACTTCCCCTCATGAATGAGCAAGAGTTGGTTATAATTTCACAAAACCAAATGATTCACTTTCACTCAGATATGATTTGCATAATTGCGTGCCGCTCCACACAGCCAGCTCACTCCTACACCAGAGGGAAGAAGAAAAAAAAAATGATTTCTTTCCCTTTCTTTGGACTTTATGCATAATGAAGAGACCGATCATCAATATTTTAAAATAGCTTTGATAAAGAGAGGACTGACGTTTCCACGGGGTTCCTCCGGTGTGAAAATGTGGAACATTCTCAGACACTGATCTGTGCATTTTTCATATGGTGTCACTTCTGAGAACAGAGCAGCGATTTCAACACGTCACAAGTTGTATGAAGGTGAGAAGGAGTGGAAACAGGTCAGCCGTGTATCACTGATGGTACACACACACTAACACACACACACGCGCGTATGTAATCGTGTGTATGTAGTGGTAGATTTGCACGAGCACGAGTCATTTATTGGTTCCACGTGTCGTCTTCGCTCCACTTCCATACCCTCCTCTGTTTTTTCCCTCTCCATAGTCATTAACGCTATCTGAGTGCAGCACAGATGTGGATATGAATTAACTGAACGGATGTCGAACAACACGCCGTTTCCCCACATATGCCGTAAGTCGGACCAGCTCCAGCGCAGACGTGCCAGCAGCGTGAAGGATTAATGTGAGCACCTGGAATACGACTCAGTGGAGCACAATGCTGCACTGTTCAAACTGTACTTACGATTGTGTAGGTGTATTTTGCCCACACATAATGATGCAATGGTTGGCTTCATATTGTGCAACTAAAGAACTTGGAACACACACACACACACACACACACAGACACACGACTTGCAGGGTGATATAATAATAGTCCCAGTTCAGATGAATGGGGTGAAGGCAGGTCAGGGGAACATCCTTGTTCCTCACCTGGTCTGAACGTGAACATGATGTTTGCTTTTGTGACGGGAACGGTCCAGGACGAAGAATATACGAGCTACCTAAAAAAAGGAGTTTTCCAAGTTCTGAGTAAGCAAGTATCGCAAGATTATTGCGATAGGAAACGTTGAGTTTACGGGAGCTGAACCGAACTCCATTTTTCTTTCCTCGCTTGGTTATTTTGATAATTTTTATAACAATAATATAAAATGTTTTCTCAATTATTATTATTTTATATTATCAATATATTTTTTTATATCTATATTTTTGATGTTCAGATGTGGTACATAGATTTTAATTGAATTAATTAATAGTATATATAGTATATTTCTGGGTTTTTTTTAGTTATTTTTAATGGGGAAACTGCAGTCGACATACAAGTTCTGTTGTGGAACGGATCAGACTCGTATCTCGAGGCTCCACTGTATAATCTGGGCAGATCGTGGCGAAAGCATTGTGGATTTTATGACTAGTTTATTACTTCTGCATAAATTATTTAGAGGAAATCAGATGAAGTATTGATGTTTCTGCATTTGATTATTATTTATTCAAGTTACAAATATTGTTCGTTGCTCTGATTAATTAAAAATAACAGTTTAATTTATCAGGTTAAGAAACTCAGCAGCATGGACTTACTATTGTAACACTGTTTAAGCTCCAGCAGGCCATACAAAATGACCACGCGGGCCACATTTGGCCTGCGTGCCTTGAGTTGGAGACGTGATTTAGAGCGTCCAATCAAATAACTCTCCTAATAAGCACGTTTTTGGGACTGTGATCTGCAGACTCACACGGGGAGAACATGAAAAAACTCCGTTGGGTCTGTACAGTTGACTGAGCTTCAGAAAGTAGTAAAGTTTCAGATTCACCAGAATATCAGTTTTGTAGTAAATACTGGCGCAACTGTGGTGTTTAAATAGGGGGCGCTACAAAAAAAAGTTTGGGAACTGCTACCTTCTGCCGTGCTGTTTGTTAGAAACATTACAAAGTTTACACAGCAGAGGTCAGCGAATGTGAAAAGGTCACATTTGTGGTTGTTAGTGTGAAGAATGGAGAAGAAGAATCACGGAGCTACGGGCAATGATTTATACTTCCCTGTCTGCACTGTAGGGGGCGTCGCTGTGAGTCCGACATGAGTCTGGTGTGAGTGAGTAAAGGAGCAGCTGGATTGTTAAAATGTTCTGAGAGTGAACTCACAGTTTACACCTGACAAAGCCATTAGAGCCAGGATTTACCAGCCGTGCTGCGGGGGATTTATGACACCCACCTGAATATTCCCCAGAATTTCAGCGAGGCTCAACAAACATTTTTAGAATTGATACGGTCCTTCATCACGGTGAGGTTATTCTGAGTATATTGACAGAACACGTCGTCAGTCTTCTAGTGTAATAGCCATGTTTTTCCAGGGAATGGGCTCAGGTTTATATTACTGTGTCCACAGCTGAGGCAGATCAGAGGGATTTTGTGAAGGTGCTGTAATTCAGTCAGGCGACGCAAACTTAGGAAATTCATTCATTGGTTTTTCCTGTAATTTTGTCAGATAGTTCAAGAAGAAAATCCTCCATCGCTAGAAATCAAATCTTACTTAAAAAAAAAACAGCGTTTCATATTAACACAGGGGGACATTTCCTTATTAAAGTGCACCGTG